GGTGAGCGGCTCGCAGCTTCTTTAAAACCGCTCTGACAAGTTTGACGTGTTCTTCTTTTGTTTCGGTAAAGATAAGAATGTCGTCCAAGTAAACAAGGACCCCCTTAAACAGGTGCTCCCTTAGAACGTCATTGATTAGTTGCATAAAGACTGCAGGGCCCCCTTGTAATCCAAATGGCAAGACTTTGAATTGATAGCACCCCATGGGGCAGTTAAATGCAGTCTTCCATTCGTCCCCTTCCTTGATTCTCACTCGATAGTAAGCTTCCCTTAAGTCTAGTTTAGAAAAAATTTTCCCTTTCGATAGGTGTGACAGCATGTCTTTCATGAGGGGCAGCGGGTATAGGTTGCTTTCACTGATTGTATTCAGGGCCCTATAATCCACGCATAAACGTAAAGAGCCGTCCTTCTTCTCTCTAAAAAGGACCGGGGCAGCCACTTTAGGCTTGGCTGGCTCAATGAAACCTCTCTCCAGGTTTTTTTTTATAAATCTTTCCATTTCCTCCTTCTCCTTTGGGCTCATGGAGTATAATCTGGGCTTCGGGAGTTTTGCCCCAGGCTTGAATTCAATGGTACAGTCTGTGGGTCGGTGGGGGGGAAGCTCATTCGCCCTCTCCTCACTGAAGACTTCAGCAAGGTCCCTATATTCCTCTGGTATTTCTGTTAATCTTTTTTCCTCTCCTATGGATGCTTTTTCTATTCTTGATTCTGGTAGCCTCCCTTGGGGTTTTAAGTCCATAGGGTCCCCCTTCGGGAATTTGATTTCTGTCGTCCTCCAATTTACCCAGGGGTTCCATTTTTTCAACCATTCCATCCCTAGAATCATTGGGCATTCCATACCTGGGGTCACCACAAACGTTAAGTCCTCTTCATGGTTGCCCAGGGAGAGATGTATTGGCAAAGTGGCTAGGGTAGCTGGCACCCCCCCTGCTATGGATCCATCTAGCTGGCCAAATGAGATTGGTTGTTCCAGTCTCCTGGATGGGATGCCCAGATTCCCCACTAGTGTTGGGCTAATGAGGCAGCGGGTACAGCCAGAGTCTATTAAGGCTTTCACCTTCACAGCTTCGGGCATGGGGGGGATTAATATAGTCACTGTTTTGAAGATGGGTGTGATGCATCCACTTACCAGGGGTTCGCCCTCCGAGCTGTCATCTGAGGCATCCACCGGCCCTGTGGTGTAGGCTGGAGTCCTTTCCCCTTGGTGAGCAGAGGTGGGGGTTTCTGCAATTTCCATCATTCTCATGGCCGTTTCTTTTGGCTTAGCTGAATACTTTCCGGGTTTGTTGATTTGGGATCTGTCTGGGTTGTGCTGGGGGGCCTTTGAGCGGCATTCTACAGCTCGATGCCCTTCTCTTCCGCACTTGAAACATCTCATTTGCTTCTTGGCTGTATCCGATGATTTCACCGGTTGGTGTGTCAGCTCAGGCGGGGGGCGGCTCCATTGTTTTCCTCGGCGGTGCCTCTTCAATATGTCGATCTCTGCTTCCTCTGCCAAGACGTACCATTCCTCAAGTCGATGTGGGTCCCCTCGGGGCAGGCAAGCATCATATAGATCATAGTTTAGTCCGTCTTTGAAATGGCCAAGGAGGATGTCTTCTGGCCAATTCAGTTTGCTGGCAATGGCCCGGAATTCTTGTGTATACTCGGCCACTGGGCGTTTGCCCTGCCTCATCGTTGTTATTCTTTCACGGGCTTTGCGATCAGCCAGGGGGTCTTCAAATCGTCTTCTCAAAGAGGACATGAAACGGTTGAAGTTACTGAGTTCTGGGGCATTGGAGTCATGCAAGTTCACTACCCAATCCGCAGCTGGTCCATCCAGGGCAGATTGCACGATCCGGATGCGGGCTTTGTCGCTGGGAATATCCTGCCCATATTCCTCCATGTAGCTGAGGACTTGGGTTAGGAAAAACCCCAAGCGTGTTGGCTCCCCTTTGAATTTCACTTCCAACGGTGGACGTCTTGGAATGGATCGGTGCCTCTGTTGTGGGTGGTAGTGCCTTCCGTCCAGATTGCCATCTGTGGTCCGGTAGGGGGTGGGAGCTCCTGGATCAGTAGATGTCCCTGGGGTTGCAGGTTCCACGTCCCCCTCGGTGTCTCTCCCTTTGCGGCTCCAGGAACTGGGGCAGCCGTAGGGTTCAGTATTCTCCTCTCCTAGGGAGCTGAGAGTTCTCTTCATCAGGTCAATAGCTTTCTCTAGGATCCAGTCTGAGTACGGTGCCCAGCTTCCTCCCTCTTCACTTGCGTGCAGGGATTTCTCCATCTCCTGCTTCCATTCTGGTTGCTTGGTCCCCCGTCTCAGGGTCACCTTTCTTGATTCCTTTCCCCACTCACTTTTCTTTCCAACGCCCATCGACCAGCGAGGCTTGTGGTCCTGTGTCTCCACCACTTCTTCTCCTGAGGAATCTGGCCTCTCGGATCCCAACATCTGGCAAGGTTCCAACTGGGTCAGCGGCTCTCTTTCCAGGGAGTTTTCCCCCTCTCTTGCTCCATTGTCTGACATGGTAAATTTTTGCAAAATCCCCCGGCAAGGGTCTTCCTTCCAGGTGGATTAATTTTGCAAGTCCTGTCTAATGTAAGGACCCACCCCACTTTGCATCTTAAGAAGACAGAACTCTTGGAATAATTCTTCCAACAGGAATCCTTTATTAAGAGAAAATGGTTGCAGGCATGCTAGACAGGACTTGGGGTCCAAGCTCTCCCATTCAAGGTTTTAAGGGGTTCCCCAGTAGTCCCACCCAATCAACCCCCCTTCCAGTGATAGTTTCAAGTATCACAATTCCACCCCGTTTCTTCTTTCTTCCGTCTGGATGGAGACTTCAGATAACTACATGAAAGGCAAATACTCTTCTTTGTTAATGCTAATGTTCTCTGGTGCTAACGCTTTGAGGTTACAATAGGTTACAATAAACACACATTCAGCATTCAGCTCTTTGAAGTCTACTGAAGGAAGTGAGGGCCATAAAGCCCCTTTGTTCTCCCCCTTCTCTCCCTCTTATGGCAGAATCCAAAGAAGGCAGAATTGGGAGTTTCTATATTTGATAATTAAAGATGAAATATGATTGGATTCTGACAGGTTTAAAGTGGCTAATGATGCAGCTATGGTCTGGTTTCTGGTTTGTGGTCATGCCTCGTCATCGGTGTGGCTTTGGGTTTGTTTTTTGCGTGGATGTGTGGTGGTGACATCCTGTGTGGTTTTTGTGAGTGTGGGTCTAGCACTGGTCTATTAAAGCAGCTGATGACCATATTGGCTGGGAATGATGGGGGCTATAGTCCTAATACAGCTGGAAGGCACTATGCTAGGGAAAGCTGTTTCAGACAAATTATTTTCCCAACAATGGTATTAGTAAGCCAAAATGAAGAACAAAAAAACTCAGAATCCCAGTTAAGTCATTGGGTCCTTTTGTATACATATTTAACAAAGTTTGTTTTAGCAACAATTGGAATTTGTTGGGAATGTGGTGGGGGTTAGTTTTGGGTGGAAGAGAAAGGGAAGGAGATTCAATTGATTCAGATTGCCATAGGAAAGCTGAATGTCTAAAGATCATGAATTCATATAATGGTTTTACAGCAACGAGAAATAAGCTTTATTGATTTCAGCACAGTGTCCTTCCAAGGACACAACAATTTCCAACTTTGCTGTTATTTGTATTGTTAACTGAGTTTTGTAAATTGTACAATATCCATTTTTCCTAGCAGGATAACTATATCTAAAGCTCTCAGATCTGTAACCCTTACCTTGACAAAATGGTGCATGATAGGGCAAATCTTTTGGAACCAAGCAACCTCAAATGGACTACCTTACAGAATACATCCAAAATCTGGGACCCATGACTCTTATGGGATTGAAATTTGTCATTTTTTAAAAAAACATTTTGTGATAAAAATTATCATAAAGCATTTTATGGCTATACAAAATGTCATAAAACATTTCTTGTGGTGAACTCCTGATGTTTGACTGCACTATACAGTTCAACACGGGCTACTTTCAAGCTAGATACATCTCTAAATATCTTCCTGAATTATTAAGAATTTTTCAAGTACATTAGAAGCTCTGCCACTGTTGAAGGTATTGAGGGATCTGATAAGGATCTTTGAAAAGATGATCCAAAGGATCATGGGTTGTCTAGTAGATTTTAAAATTCCATGCAAATAACCATGATTATTACAGTAGCACAAGATACTCTGAAACTATAAAATACAGATAAATATATTGTTTTTATGCACCACAGAGAATTTGCAAAATCAGTTTGCTGGGTTCTGGGTTCATAGTTCTGGACTTGCAGTGCAACAGAGCCAGATTCACTATGGAAAGGGACATGAAAGACAGTTTGGAACCAAAAAGGCAATATATGGATTGGTAAAGGATGGCAATGTCTTGTTCCATTTGAATGTTTTCTATAGGTATTTCAAAACAGAATCAAGAAGACAGAGTTCTAGATATCTATGGGTCATGTCATCCCAATCAATTTTCTAAGGTTGCTCATTGTTGAAGTTTGAAGTATGATCTCCTAGATTCCATGTCCTTCCTGAAACCTAGATCATAGGGTCATAGAATCATAGGGCTGGAAGGGACCTGGGAAGTCTTCTCATCCAACCCCACACCCAAGGCAGGAGTCCTTATTCCATCCCGAACAAACGGTTGTCTAATCTTTTCCTGAAAATTTCCAGTGATGGAGTATCCACAACTTCAGGAGGCAAGCCATTCCATTGACTAATTGTTCTTACTGTCAGGAAACTTCTCCTTAGTTCCAGGCGGGATCTTCCTCTAAAGATCTTCCATCCATTGCTTCTTGTCCTGCCCTCATGTGCTTTGGAGAATAAATTAACCCCCTCTTCCCTGTGACAGCAGTTCAAGTATTAAAAGATGGCCATCATGTCACCCGTAAGCCTTCCCTTCATTAGGCTAAACATACTTAGTTCCCTGAACTGTTCATCACATAGTCTAGCTTTTAGACCCCTTATCGTGTTTATTACTCTTCTATCTGACTCTTTCTAGGATCTCAGCATCTTTTTTATATGATGGTGACCAGAAACAGACACAGTATTCCAAGCGTGGCCTTACTAGTACTATAAAGAGTGGTACTATCACTTCTCATTATCTTGACGTTAGCCTTGTGTTGTTGCAGCCTAGGATTGCATTGGCTCTTTTGGCAGTTGCAGCACACTGCTGGCTCATGGTTAAGCAGAGTACGTAGACCCTTCTCACAAAAACTACTGCTGAGCCAGGTATTGTTTATTTCATACCTGTGGATTTGGTTTTTCCTGTCTAAATGCAGGACCTTACTTTTCTCACCACAGAACTGCATCTTATTGGTTACCTGCAGAAACTTGAGATCAGGCAATCCTGGGGGGACTCTTGAGAGCTTGTTGTTATCCAAGTGCAACTCACGTAGGATAGGCAGGAAAGCAAGACTGCCATTCTCAATCATGCGAATATTGTTGTGTCCGAGGCCCAATCTATGAGGAGAGAAAGGGGATATAAAGTTAAGTGGAGATTTAGTGTGATGCCAACTTGTGTACTTTACAATGCAGAAGAAGATCAGCCCTCACTTCCTTGCATTCACTTTGCCAATGAGGTGTTTTTCCTTGTTCCCCCCACCACTCTGCCCCAAAATTCTTTCTCAAATTACTGGAAGTCTAAAACTGCAGAGGTGGGGACAAGCCATGAAATGGAAGAGTAAAGATTTTTCTTACTTTTCCTTCCTTCAGCTATGGAATCTTTGTTGCAGTTGCCCTGTTTTGATTACAAAATTTTAGATGGAATTCCGATGATGGGAAGATTACAAATAGTAATCACATGACCCAGGACAGTGCAATTGTTAAAAAACATGTCAGTTGACAAACATCCGAATTTTGATCACATGAGCAGGGGGATGCTGCAACAGTAGTAGGCGTGAAAACTAGTTGTAAGTCACTTTTTTTTCAGTGCCATTGTAACTTTGAATGGTCACTAAACGAATGGTTGTAAGTCCGGGACTACCTGTACAGCACTCTTACTTTTCCCCTAATAAAGTTTTGGAGAAGGGAGAGCTAGAAGACAGACCCAAAATCACTTAAGTAGTTTCTCTAACTGAGTTACAGAATTGAAACTAGTTGCCCTAGTCTAGCATCTCCACCATCCTGGCTCCTACTGGTTATGTGTGAATTCAGTTTCCATCTAATAAACAGCATAAAGTTTGTGGACAGGAGCAAGTCCCAAGTCCTTCGATAAAGTCCACCCTTTCGACTCTGTGAGCCAAGGGAAAGTAACATTTGAAGACCAGATTTCTTTTGGTCCTGGTTGCTTTTTTGCAGCTTACCCATCAAAGATGTGTCTGTCTGTATTACAGATTGCACATCAAAGCTCAGGCAATATAGTTAAATATTATAGATGACAGATGAAGATGGTGATGAATGAGAAAACAAAGACCAATCAGTCTGTGCATTTGTGTACAGATATTTCAATTTCCAAATGAAGCAGGAAACAAATGTATGATTACGCTGCCATCTTCTGTCTGATTCTCTCCAGTCAGCTACCTCATTCCTTCATGCAGCAAGCAGATGTCTGGGTGTGCCACACCAACTGCAGCTATGGATTGGATAAGTGGACCAATAAGGAAAAGGTGAGAAGGAGACGCAGAAGGATTTCGGCTGCTGTTTGGTGTAAGATATAAAAGTTCACATTTCTAGAGTCTGGATAGCGATGCTATTTGGAGCCTATTTAAGCAGAAGCGAACGCAACAGAAGCTTCCTTTTTACTGTACCACAGTGTTTTTTCTGGCTAGGGAATGCAGGCTGGGTTTTCTGGGAGTTGAAGTCCACACATCTTAAAGTTGCTGAGTTGAAAAATAGTGCTGTACCACCACCTCAGAATACACATGGGGTTTACAAGAGTTGCGTGTCTGAAAGCTGTGCTCCAGAGGTATTAATGCTCTGTGTGCAATTTTGTGTGAAATAAGGCCAGCGTTAAGATAAGTGACTTTTCTGGCTGGAAAAACTGCCAGACTTTCTGAGTATGGCTTCAACTTGAATGTCTTCATCCAAAATATTGACAAACATTAGGAGCTGGTCCCCAAGGAGGAACACAAATGCAACGTGGAAAGCAGAGGATAAAATCATGTCCCTGAGCAGTTGTCTTAACTGTACCTCATCAAAGGCTAGGATGCCCCATGCAGTAAAGCATGTGGGCCTCCAATGGGCACTGAGTTTGATCTTATGGGGCAGTAACAACTTTGGGTAGTAATTCAATATGCAGAGCAACCCAAAGGGAAAAATGAAAATCCTTTTTCTAGCACTGCAGTCAAGCTGCTATTAACATTTTTTTAAAACTCAGAAAATTCTTTCTTCTCCTGTCATTGCATCCAAATCAGCCCAAAATCAATGCATAAAAATCAAAAGTGGAGGGATTCAATCCTGAATCAAGGACCTTAATCTTTTGGGCTTTGTCTGATTTTTATACAATAGAAATGATGAAAAGAATGGCCTCTTGAGAGGCAGGGAAAGCAAATTCTTAGAAAAGACTTTCCTGATCAAGTTTGTCTCTTCAGATCAAAATGCTTAAAGGAAAGGAATTAGAACACCCGTTAAAAAGTTGCTAACAAATATAGCTCTTTCCCCCTCTAGTGGCTGAAATAGATATTGAACTTAAAACGGTGAGATCATATTTAGGCCTAGTTTAAATAGGTGTGAAGCTTATATAATAAAATAATAAAAACTCCACCTCCTATTTTTTTCATCTTTCTCAGATGAAGCACTGACTTTATTGTATCTATGTTATATTATTTAGAACAACATTAGTTCTCCAAATATAAATTTATGAATTGGAGGATAGGCTAAAATTCGCCTCACTGGACAACTTAATGACTATTTCTAAGAGTGATTCTACTTCAGTTATTAAGTCATTTCCTTTATCAGATTAACAGAAAACAATTGAAAAATTTAGAAAACTGAATTTTTACCAGTTGATTTTCCAGGCCTGTCTTCTCAATCTGACTAGAAACTGTTTTAATTCTTTGAAATTATACTCTATAATAAAATATGGTGAAAAACAAATATTTTATCATTCTCTGACTTGAGGTTGCATGTTCAATTTGTTTATCACATTCACACAGCCACCATCTTTGTTCATTGATTGTTTTAGATGTGATATAGAGACCACTCAATAACTTAAAATGGCTTGGTGATGGCTGTTTTAAGTCATCCATGACAGGGGAGAAAGGAAAGAAACCAGCTGGCACAATTGCACATGGTCACACTTAATTATACACCATATTGAGCATGCTGTGCTGTAGTAGGCTCCACATTTGCATATTTCTACCTCCCATTTCATGCTTGGAATACCTTCTGCTAGTCTGAACCATGGAAGATTACTTATGATGACCTCATACAGTTGCAGTTCTTCTCTAGCTTGGAGGAGCAAGGTCATGAGCAGCATCCTGACTAATCACTGAGCACGGTTGAAAATGCTTTCACCTACAGCCTGTGGGAAGGGGGGGGGGGAACGGCAGTTGAAGTTTCTCAGGAGCTTGTTGCTAGGGAGACCACAGCTGAGCTGGGTGGATATTTTAAACCCCCAGACATTTTAACATTTTAGCCAGTTAAAGATTCTGAAGGAGTGCTTTTGTGGCAAAAAAAAAAAAAAAAAAGGAAAAAGGAAAACGAGAGGGAGGCAGTCCAGATCTCCCTGACACTAGTAGGAGATGACTGATGTTACAGGTGTAGGTTTAGAAACAGAGAACTGGAATGAATCAATATCTAGTTCTGCCTACCCAGGTAGTTAGTGGGGGCTCTCCTTCATTTTAACAGAATGCCTCTCCTCTCCTCTCCTCTCTCTTCCCCTTCTTATCCTTTCTTATTTGGTGAAACATTTTAAAGAAATGCACCTCTTAAATGCTGAAGCAGAATTGGTGGCCCAACTGTAGGGATTGCAAGTCAGGAACAAGGGAGTAAATGGTTGTTTGTATCTTTTGGGCACCAGCTGGTGAAAAGCTCTATTTTTGTGTTTTGAATACTGTACATTTGTTTTCTCTTTGCACTTCCTGTTTGCTTCTTATAGATAATCTGGGCTTTAAACACATGCTTCTTGAAAATCTATAACCCTCCGTTTTAGCTATAATTTGTAGTATGTTTTAATTAGGAGGATGGAAGTTGACTTTGGGCCCATATTTGGCACCTGGGCAGATTGTCCCCAGCATGAGGGGGGGGGCATCTAGGCAGAAACCTCCAAGATAGGATCACTCTGTCAGCTACCAAGTTATGGAAGAGATGGAACAACTTTGCTATATGTGCACAAAAATTAAAACTCAGTGGATCTCCTCCCTTGGTCCTTCTAACTCCATATACTGTATGGCATTTGGTTTTGTGAACAACAAGAAGTGATTCCCTGCAAAGACCTTGGAATTACAAGGCCAGAGGAAAAGGAAATGAGGAAAGAAGGTTCAAGGCCAGAGACAAAGTATTATTGTTACATCATGCTAAAAAGTGAACCATAATTGCATCTCTAGGGAAACTAAAACTTGTATCAAAAGTATCGTGAGGATGACCAGTAAAAAAGGAACATTCCTTCCATGTTTAAAAAATAACTCTTACTATATATTCACTCTGAACATTTCCTATTTTCTAAACACATTTTTGCCAGCTTGATAAAACACAATTTGCTTCCTACTATTGTATTCCCCCCCCCCTTTTTTTTTTTCCTGTGCAACTAACTTTGAAGCAAGGAACTGCTTTGGCTTCCTTGTTTAGAATGGGCAATGAGAAATTGTGGACAGACTTGAAGTAGGATAATTTCCTTTTTTTAAAAATACTCAAGCTTATTTTCATTTCTCATCTTTATGTTGCAAAGTCTGAAATCAACTGCCTTGTACCTCAGTCATACCCTAATTTGTAGTTCTCCAGATGTTGCGACTCATAAAAACTGCAGATAGTATAGCCCAGGAATGCTGGCTCAGGAATTCTGGGAGTTGAAGTCCACGAGTCATAAAAGAGCCAGGATTGCCTACCTCTGGTATAGCCAATGGTGAGAGAGGTTGCTCTGTAACATCTGGAGATTAGTGACCTTCCTATTTTGCCCCAGATTTCATCTGCACAATCCTGGCAAGTTCTTCAAGAATGACTCTCCTATTACCTGTAGATTTTGGAGTAGCGGATCAAATCCTCTAATTCAATTGCCTGGACCTTGTTGTGGTCCAGATGTAGCTCAGTTAAGGTTTCAGGGAGGTCTGGTTGGAGAAGAGTAGGAAAATATTAGTCTTTCTAAAATCCACAGCATTCCAGAGTGCTTCAAAACAGATAAAGCAACAATAAAAAGAGAGAAACTCTAATTACACAATGCACTAACAATGGTTAGCCAACTTTTATAGTTCCCTGGCTTAACTCAATGGCCTGAATTCATGTATAGCATTGAGTCATCATTAACCAAATACGCTTGTTTTGTTGAATGAACCCTGCCGTTAATGTTTTGAACTGAGAATGATGCTGCAAACAAAATAAAATGGGATATACAATAGCAGTAATGCGTTCTGAAATGCTCTGAGGCCACAACATTTGTACTGGTTTACAGAAAAGGAGAAATTTTCCTCAACAGGAGAAGAATTCCATTTCTATTTAGCATATATGAAAAAGTTCTGCTCCCAATGGAAAGCAACAGAAAAGATGGGACTTCTTGTAAAACTTCATCAGGACAATGGCTACTATGCCATTCACTGTGTCACCTCCACTACTTATGATGGCTCATCAATACCTCATAGTCGAGTTGTATATGATTTCCAGGAAATTGCAGGTTTTGTCTCTCAGTTGTCTAATACTAAATACTTCCCATCCTACTATATATAGTCTAACATTAAACTCTCCCCATCCCATATGATCTGAAATTAGGGAACTGAAAAGAAAAAAAAAGAATCCTTGCAGGAAAAAGAAAGATTTATTTTGGGAAGAAGAGACCAGAGTTCTAGGGGAAGAATAAGGGAAAATCTCTGTGTCTTATTTTTTAAAAATATGGTCTCCTTCCTGTGTCACTGCTGTGTCCCTGAATTCAGCTGATATCTCTCAGTATTCTTTGAAAAAAACAAAATAGTTCTGCACTACCTTTGGGATTAAAAGCTGAGAGAAGCCATAGCCCTGGGTTTTATTAAGAGGTAGATATGGAGAAGAAAGGTAGATATGGAGAAGAAAGAATATGGAGAAGTTATCACCTTTGGGTACACCAGTGAGCTTTGCTTCTGAGATCCTCAGGTAGTTCAGTTTTAGGCCATCAAAGGCACCAGGTTCAAATCCACTATTCTCCAGAGGATTCCCACCCATTTCTGCAAAAAGAAGTAGTTTCATATAAAACAACAGTGTTCAGCTTTATCAGATCCAGATTCACCCAAGCCCTCTTCTGCAACTTATGGCATATCTTTAAAAAAATTATATATGTGTCCTTCTCCTTCTCTCTCTAAGGTAGCCATGTACAGGAAGAATTAATGAAAAGGGCTACAAACGTGGTAAGAGAGATACTGCACATCGTGATCAGTCTTTAGGAGCCAAAAGTACAATCTGTTTCTATTTGATTATGGATTAGTAAGGCCCATCTCCTCCCACCCTCCTCCAACTCAGCTCCAAATTTCCCTTTCTTGAACCCATTTTTTTCTTCTTCTTGGAAGAAGCAAATTGTACTTGCTTGCCTGAAACACGCAGTTCCACCCTCAAAGCTTATGGGAAAGCAATTAAATGTTCATTAAATGCAACGGTGATGTTAACAGAATAAGATATGTATATATGATTCTACACTTTAAATCAATTTGAATCGTTTGCATTTTTAAACAAATTTATTGGTGGAGCAATTTGGGCATTTTTCTCCAAGTGGTCTTGCAGTTGTAATAAAGGCAGGGTCCGTATTTTCCCGAAAATGAGACCCAACTGGAAAATAAGCCTTAGTATGATTTTTCGGGATACTCATAATATAAGCCTCAACCCAAAAATAAGCCCCAGTTAAGATCGTCAGCCAGCCAGACACATCTAGTGCCGTATTTCCCTGGAAATAAGACCTAACCAGAAAATATGCCCTAATGCGTCTTTTGGAACAAAAGTTAATATAAGACCCAGTCTTATTTTCGGGGAAATATGGTAGTTCTGAAAAAGTTTATTGAATGAGAAGCGAAACGTTTTCAAGGGGAAAAAATCAAGAAAGTCCAGTTGCCTTTGGAAAAGCAACTTTGGGACAATCGTGACCTGGATGACTGATAATCTCCATAGACACAAGGGGAAAGGGAGAAATGTAGGAATTAAACCACTGGGATTGATAAGAATTGGTGTCTATTTTCCATCTTGTCAGAGGACAGTCAACTGTTTAAGGTGTCTTCATCCCAGTATATAAAGTTATTAAGCTAGCTGTGCTGTGTCAAATGCCTAACTAGCTTTGCCCGAGTTTGGGCCCTGGAGTCTGATGCTTGTGGAGAGTGTAGAGACCATGACTGTGTAAGTAATTCAACAGATTTGCGCTATAGGGGTAGACCATTCATCTGATATTATTCTAAGAATGTTCTCTATTGTTATAGCCTTGCTGGATTCATGCAATGCTGCAATGGTGCTCCGCTCTCCCAGGAAATGCTAAACGTGATTCACTTCCCTTCGTGATTCTTATTTGTTTTTTTAAAACCTGTAATTCAGCTGGAGTTACACCTGAAAGGGACATGGAAGAAGGGGTACACAAAGTAGTCTAGTGATGCCTAATAGATCCCTGAGGTCACACCTATCTCACACCTGCTGCCATGCTGAGTCTGACAGATGTTTTCCCTGCCTGTTGACAATGCTGAAGGGTTTGATCAATGTGTATATTTAGGGCATTATCATTTGGAGCAGACTTGGAGCCAATGCAATAGATACAGGATAGGGATTAGCAGAGGAGGTGGGAACAAACATTTACTGGGGATGTAGATGAGTAGATAACAAACTCAGTTACAGGGAAAGGCCCTAAAAATCTTGATGGAATTTTGAAAGAGACAATGGATATTGTTAATTATGGCATCGTATTTTGAATGAGTCAAATTTGGGGGAGGGGGGAAGAACTCCTCAGCTTAACATATTCTAAAATCTTAGAAGTTTTTCAAAGCTGATCCAGGCCTATGTAAGTCCTTTCAGGAGGCAGTAGAATAATTTTGTGAATGTATTTGACATTCTAAACTGAAAAGCTCAACTTTCCGTGGATTGTGCTTTAATCTATTCTCAAACATACTTAATGAACACAGTTAAGAAGAAAAGTATATGCAGATTCCCACAGTTCTTTTGCTCATGCTTTGTTCCTAAGTAAGTAAATAAACTGGAAACGAACACTTTCAAACTTCATCTGAAGCCAATATTTAGTTTATTCCTCCCAAATTGCTGGCTTGCAAAGGTAGAGTTCTTTGGAAAGGTGAAAAAAATGGATTTCTGAGCCCTCTATTCTTGATTTTTTTTATTTGCTCATAGGTTCACATGAACAATGGAAAAGGACCTCTATGCAAATGTAGCCAATTGACTCTGATTTGTTAATGTTCATTCTGTGCTTTTTCTCAACTGTATTGTGCATATCACTCTATGCATGCTATAAATTTATGCAAATGAAGATGATTATGAAAACGTATGCCAGGAAGGCAAATAAGGTCAGAATATAAATTGACTGTTAATGTATATTTGCATTTCCAAAACACTGGGTAACATTGGGAGCTGCAGTGGCCTTTTGGTCTAGTCTTGCTTGCTATTAACCATATTTTTTTTTAACGGACCAACCAACATGTCACACAATATTGGATGCAATTTTCTTCATTCTAGAGAACCATTCATTGGGGTCTGTGTCTATGTTTCTAAAGAAAAGGAGCAAATACAAGGCGGGCCTTTGGGAAAGAAAAGTGGGGAGAGGTGGTGATGCCTCACCAATGCAATTCATATTGTGGAGCCCATTGAAGACAGCTTTGGGGATCTTCTTGATTTTGTTCTCATGGATCCGGAGTTCCACCAAGGAGTTGGGCAGGTTAGGAGGAATCTCCACCAAGTTGTTCTTGGAGATGTAGAGTTTCTGCAGCTTAATCAGAGGGCTAAAAGCCTTTGGATGGATCTTGGAGATCTTATTGTTCACCAATACCAAAGCCTGTGGGTAGAGTCATAGAAAGAGATGACATGTGAGCAGCATTTAAGCATGTGCTGACATAGATGTAAGAAGGTGGAATCTATTATTATCCTGGCAACCCATTTTTGCAGCTAGAGAAATTTGCGAGGAAGTCCTGCAGAAAAATTAGGTATCAGATTCCCATTGGTACAAATAAGACATCTGCATACTTCCCAAGTCTGCTTGCAGATGGTAATCATATAAAGAAAGGAGCAATACTGTAGACAAGATAGATGCAATTATTTGCACTGGGAAAAAAACAATTTAAGGAATGGAGTGAGACTTGCAGAAATCTTTTAGCAGAGTATCATGATAAAGAATACAGCTAGTGGCTCAAGGTTTCCAGGAAACATAATCCCAGGTGTTTGAGAGAAGTGGAGGGTGCAAATAGTGAAGGCCATTCATGTTGAGATGTTCAGTGTTCCAGGATCCAGTCCTGGCAGAATAAATAGATTTTAGTGCTACACCTGAATGAAGCTACTGTATATTCAGAGTGAACCCAGCTAGGTTCTCCTGTCCTACTTATATCCATTAGAAGTGGGGAGGGGTCTTTGGCAGTACATACATAGAGGCGAAAGAGCCCTTTAAAGTCATCTTTGCGCAGCTCCGTAATGTGGTTGTTTTGCAGATCTAGTAATGTGGTGTCTGGCGAGATTTCCTTAGGCACTTGCTTGAGACCTGGAAAAAACAGACACAGGCAAGTCAGAAAAGTCAAGATTGGCTACACAGATAGATGAAGGGATATCCAGGGCAGATAGGCCTGGCCAGGCTGAAACAGGACCAGCTAGACAAGGCTGGAAAGCCAAAGTGGACGGGGCCCTGTACTGTGAATCCCAGAGAAGAGAATGAATTTAGCACCTGCTGAAATTAAGGCTCTGGAGCCCTCGCTTCTTTTGCACTTGGCTATTCAGCCCCACACATTAATCACAGCCCACATTAATAAGATTATCTACCCAAGCAAGGAGGAAAAATATTCAAATTCTTGTTTTACAATTTATCAGTGAATTTTAAAAACCTTGCAAGCCGTATAAATAAATTAGCAATAAGTATTCCACCCGCTTTTCCCGCTTCTCCCTTATCATGAAGCGTAATCAATGATGTGTGTGTGTGTGAGGTAGAGCATCATGAATGGCCAGGAGAACCAAAAAGGGGCAGCACTTGTGGTCCAGCATGCTTTCCAGTTTCTTTGCTCCCTTTGCTTGCAATTGTTTCTTGCTAACTCACAATGTATGACATAAAGCAACAGTGTTTGGGTTTTCCACACATCTGTCAGCCAGTGAGTTGAGACAGTCCAGCACAGCAACATCACTTTCACAACTTGATAGTTGCAAATGTCCACAAGAACGAGAGCATGAAGATTAGAAGCTCCACCTTTTAGAGTATCATACTGCCTTACAGTTAGCTCTGCATCAATATGCAAAGTACATACAATCCACCAAGTACTGTTGCTCAGTTGTACCTGGCTGAGGCTATTGTAAGCCACTGAACCATAGGAAATCATAAGCTGTCTTTGCAAGATTTGCTGTTTCCTTGAGAACAGTGATGGCCTGGCGACTTTCAAGAGTTGGGCTCCCCTGCATTGTCTTGAGAAGCTGCTTCATGCCATTTTACAGAGGAACTGTGTATTTAAGGATGGTATATAGCTCAAGGGCAGAGGGCGAATGCCTTGCATGCAGAAAACATCATGTTCCTGCCTTGCTCTCTGCAGCCAAAAATGGATTGCATGGAAGAAACTGATGGGAGGGAGGGGGCAGAGCTCCAATTGAGAGTTTGGAGGGACACTGCCACCACCAGCCAGAACTGGTGTAGATGAAACAGAAATGCCTTCAGCAACTTGATTGTCCTCTTTCTGTCTAGAACAGAACAAAAAAAATGTGCGTTGCTTTGGGAGCTATTTTGCTCAGAAAATGGGCCACTGGCAGAATGCCAGTTCTGGCTCTCCTGCAGTGCTCAACTGGTGAGAGCTCTGATCTCAGCATTTTGAGCAGGAACGAAGATGTTTGCATGGCCAGCATTGAAATATTTTGCAGCAGTTGGAGATGGGAAATGCATCCATGCAGAAGCATCCTCTGGCATATTCCCAACTCACATTATGATCCGGAACTCCACATCAGCTTTTCCATAACTGGCTGTACTTCCTCCTCCTCCTCCTCCTCCTCCCTCCCTCCCTCCCTCTCTCCCTCCCTCCCAAAAAATTCTTATGATCTGGACTGACAAGCTGTGCCTGGGTTCTGATTAAAACAAAAACATGTCAGCATTCCAAGGAATTCCTCTCTCTGCGTGGGTGGAACAATACGGCAGCTGAGTCACTTCTTCATTAGCTCAGTGAAATACAGTCCTGAGCCCTGGCACAACAGTCTTATTCTGATCTGATCACTGGATCACAATAAACCATGCTGTATAATGGGCTGCTACCGGTATTACAGTCACAATATCCTCATGTGGATTCGCTGTGACACTGCCCACATACTGCATTCATCTGTTTACCCTGTTTATAGTCACACAATGCTAAGTCACACTTGGTAAATCTGATGTGGCTCACACATGATTAATGTGCCAGAAGCAAGCTTTTATTCAAGGCTACAAGAGGGATGAGGGATAGACACTGCTTCTACACATGCCTGAAAAATATTCACAGAATTGTTGCTGCTGTGTTAAAAGTATGTGGTAGAGATGTTTTCTTTATCAACTGCATTGGAGATGCCTTGTCTGGAATGAACATTAAATTCTTGCAAAAACTGCATCTGTTGAATGTCTGCTTGTCTGTCTCTAATTTATTCTCTAAGTCTTAACTATTAATTTACAGTGATTAAGATGGCCTAACTCACAACTCCATGAAGAAATCCTGTTGCACAGCTCAGAATTATCAATAGTGAAGACTTGTATTTTATTTTACCTTGACCGCTTCAAACAAGGCCATTCATGGGCTGGCTCAATGAAGAATGAATAAACTACTGCAAGTGACTGTTTCAAAAAACCGGAAGCAAAATAGAGGTTTTAAAAAAAAAAAAAAATTACCTGCTCTGAAGCCTTTTGTGAGTTTCACAAATACACAGATAATCTGGCAATCAGAATTTCATTCCTAGGCACCCTTTTCTTCTTATACAAGAAGATAGAACTGTGTCAAAATAATGCATTCAGATATACAGCTGCGCATTACACACAAAAGTCATTGAAAAGTTAACATTAAAATAAAGATGTTCCCTCACATTTATTGTTTGAGAACCTTGTTTAAGTAATTTTCTTGGGTGATTCTGGCTGTATCTCAATCTAGGGACCGGGAAAAATTGCTTCACATTCTGAGTCTGGTGACTTGGCTATCCCTAATATGCCCCTCACACATCCTCCTCTGTAATTTGTATTAGATTATACAGGTAGTCCTTACTTAGTGACCATTCAAAGCTACGATAGACCTCCCCAGAGCTGCTTGCATCCCACTTCTGGAGTTCCAATGGCCACACACCCTGTGATCACGTGATAACATTTTGGGCACTTGCCAACTAGCTTGCATTTATGGCAGTTTGCAGCACCCACAGTCCCATTACTGCAATTTTTAGTGTTTTTTGCCTGTTTCTGGCACTTATGTCCAGTTTCTGGCAAAAAAAAACCAAAAAAACCGTGCCGCAGATTGAAGAAAATGGGTTCATTTAATCATCAAGGCATTTGCTTAACAACCCCTGCAAAAAGGTTGTAAATTCAGTCATGGTCACCTAGTGGTCCACTTAATGATTGCCTTAATGATACTCAACGTACATATGTAACTCCAGGCTCGATTTACGTTTGTACATCAAGGATTACCTGTAGATGCTTTGGAAT